CAACTGCTCAGAACAGGGAAAATAGCCGACCTAGTACTAGACAACCTACCGTTCTGCACCAAACAGGTGCGGACAACTGCTCCTTTTCGGCGTCTCCAATTTCTAGCTCGGTTTCGTACGTTGAGATCAAAAATATGAGCTACTTGACGACAACTGTCACAAATTTTGGACCACAACGCTGTGAAACTGAAAAGTGCTTCAAAACCACTGTTTTCACTGTCATCTACAGCTGATCTGACTCAAATACAGAATTTCTGCGCTATGGACGGGTTGTCCGCTCTCCCAAACTGGCCTAACAAGTTGAACGCGAAAGAATAACTGAAAAGGCAGGTACTGCATTACGAACGCTCACCACAAGGAATTACTCAAAAGGTGGGCGTGGCCTAATAACACCGTTACTGGGAAATAATAGGGCAGATTGTGCAAAGAAGCCTCGCTAATCATCAACAAAGATGTCGCCTAAATAGCGCTAATATCCAATTATACGTCTTTCATTTTGTCGCATACGTAATCACGTCCTTCTCGGAAAAATCAGAGAGGGAACTACAAAGAGGTACAAACATCGTTGTCAAACATTGTTTAGTGGTAAGATCCTTGTTCAGCAATGGAGTGAGGTCAGTGCATACATACACAGCTAAAAAGCTATTTATACGCTCATATTGGACTTACGCCAACGACGACCGCCCGCGTCCGCCAGCAGAATGGTATTGTGTGGGCGGCTAAGTGAATGTCGGATTATTTTTGATTTTGCCTACCAAATAAGCAAATTTAGTATGTGAAGGTGTGCCTTGCAGTGCACTCCTACAACCGGTGTAACTGCGGTCTCGTGCACGTAGCCCTGGTGCAGCTTGGAAAGAATGAAGTATAAACAGCTGCTGCAGCATTATGCAATTCTTTTTATTTATTCATCTCATAATAGCTGCAAAATTTTGCAAAGATATTTTTGGATTTACAGGAACGAAATTTTCTAGCAAACGCACTGAAAAGTGTGTAGTAAATTAGTAGTAATTAGTAGTATATTAAGCAAAATGAGTGCACGATTCTCTGAGAAGCCCACTAGGCGACGTTATTGTTTATTTGGAAGGACGTAGTACATCTGCAAAACGGTTTTCCCATAGCGGGATTCGAACCCGGATAAGCCAACTTGCCGGGCGAGCACTTTACCACTTTGCCACAATGGACATGAGATTTCATGTGCTAAGCGGAGGTAATTAAGAGAATAGGAGCCTTCACATCCTTGTTTGGTGGGAAGTTTAGCAGAAAATAAAGGCAGATTTGAGATTGTAGTCTTAAAATCTGCAATCTGGAACCAATTTTACCAAGTATGGTTGCGTCACCATAAGTGGTCCCCCTAGGAGTTCGGCTAGGCCTGTCCCTCTGTGCCCCTATCGTAACCCTACAGTAGTCCGCAGGAAAAGCGTCCGCTAGAGCGTAGAAAAAGACATGTTTTCAGCACATTCACATCTACACGATTCCCAGCACAAAGCGTCGACCGACAGACAATTTCGTTGTGGCTCCTGGGAGCTGCTCACACGCTGAACTCGAAAATATTCGTGGCGTGAGAGTATTCGGACAGCCGGCCGTTCTTCTCTTTGGGAATCACATCAGCTATTCTGAAATGAGACACCACCCGCGTGAATCGTTCGTATAGACTCAAAGAACGGGTGGGAGAATATTCCCGAAGGGGTGGAGTCGGCGTCATTACTAGCTGTTGAATTATTAAATTACTTTTTCGCGAGTGCATTTTTTAGTCGTGAAGGTGTACTATGGCAAAGACAGACCCCAAATTAGGCAGTTATTAGTAGGATACTGTAGGATACGGGAACGATAATACTAGTAGGGCCAGCAAAACAAGTATATAGGTAAATTGTCAAGTTGCTAGAGGAAATTGGAAAGTGCTAAATTCTCCAGAACACTATTTCCTGTTGCTTTTTCGCTCGAAATGTCATGGGAAATGAAGCGAGAAAAATCGGAAGCGGCAAAAAAGACCTGTAAATATGAAGTACGAAAAAGTACAGCTAAAACGAGGAGATCTAACTGCTACAGAACACTTTGCAGAAGGGATTTTATGCACAAAAAACTGCAGTTTAAGTTACTTTTTGGGAAATTAGAGCTTTACCTGAAAGTACTTTAAGTTAAATGCTATAAACAGCTCAGAATGACAAAAGACTTCCTGACAAAGGCAAATGGCAGGTATACGGGGACTACCTGCACATCTAAAGTACAGTAATCTTTGCAAATCTAGCGGGATCTTGGTCCTAGGGAGATGAAAACGGTCTGCAAATATTTCGATTTAAAAACAGCGCAAATTTACATTGACGCAAATGGCATAATGGCCGCTTTGGAAGTTGGCCAATAGGCACAGACTACGACACGCCCCTCTGGTGCAAAACCTACCCATACAGAGTCTTTTTGGTGCAAAAATGATGATTTTCTTCCACAAACAAAATTTCCTTTCTATATTTGAAATTATTTTTTGCACTAGAAGGGTTTGATCAGCCATCCTTCAAGAGAAAAATGTCCTATATTTTAAAGCACCATCAACTACATGTGAAGAGATCAAATATTGGTGTTTGGACACAACTGGGGTAAGCTCAGTGATTTTGAGCTCGAGCTCGACAGAGATTAATTATAATTTAAAAAAGCTAAGGAAACTGCCAACTTGGAAGCTATGTTTAATAATAATTACCAGTTTTAGAAAAAGGACCAGCCTAAATTNNAAAAAAGATTTTACTGATTCAAAAACAAATTTGCAGGTCCGCTACGTTATGGAGTTACGGTGACTCAGGCTATGGAGATTAATCCCGGCTTATTTTAGCTCAGATCAGGCATCAGGTCCACCTTCTAAGAAAAAGCACAGGCTATTGTAGTCTGGTAATCTTGCGAAAATTAAATTTCAATAAAAATCCCGAGTTCCTAAAGGAAACCAGCTAAATTCAAGCCGATGGGGGGTTATCGCTTACGACCGCCTACGTACCCTGTGAAGTAAGTGGGACAGAGCTCCCTCATCCGCATGTTTCATTACCTCGGTGCAGGAAAATCCTCCCAGCGGCTGAGACGGGTTTTCCATTAAATCCGGAAATCCCACAAGAAGCCGTCCGGATAAAGGGGTTTCGGATAATTCTATTTCGTTTCCTTATTAAAACCCTACACAAGGGATTTGTTTGTGATAGCTACGGAATTTTCCCTCTGATTTCTATGTGCTTCTCAAGTTTTTTTTAAGCAATGAAGGGGATCAAGACTGTAACTGTGTAGAATTTTCTGCTTTTTTCTTCAAGAACGCAATACTTTTTTTTAAAAGGTAGAGTATTGTGGGCATTCAGTTTTTCGGAAGGCATATTTCACTTATGAACGGACGAGTTCTGATGTGTTCAAGCCGCCTGAAAACTCGTCCGGAGTAGCTGTTTAAACATGCCCACAAGTTTTTGAAAAAAAACAAGTTGTGTTGGAAGAAAAAATTACATAAATATCATTTTCTGTGAAATTTTCCTTTTTATACATATGCGCTTCTTTGGGTTCCCTTAGACATGTTTTGATAGTTTGAACTTCGTTCGAATAAATCGCACAATGGACGAGTTTTCACGCAACAAAAAATGGTTAGTCATTTACGTCCTAAACCAGTGACAACGGATGTAGGTGGTTTACTTGACAAGTGCGCGCCTATGTGACTTTCAGAATACACACACGGCACACAGTCGGGCTACATCGATTGAGATCACGGTTCATCACGGTCGATCACGGCGCTGGTACATGCGCACTTGTCAGGGGAACTCGCTATACTTCTCTATTGGGATAGTAGGAGCGACGGTTCCAGAATTTCTTTCGGAAAGGGAGGACGGTTCTATCTCAGGCCGAAAGTGGGCGGGGCTCGGGGGCTGGGTCAAGGGAAACTGGT